TGATGGTCAGAGATCCGGTTTGATCCAGTTTCAGTCGACCTATGAATCTCCCATCAGCACTACCATTATAAAATTTCGGTTCATTGTTCTGTCTATTGATTTGAGCAATGAGAATGTCTTTATGCCCAAAATTCCACCTTATCTGATCATCTTTTTTTATGTTAGTAACATTAGGCTTTAAAATGACAGATTCTCCCTCCATCACTGACACTGACTTCACTTCATCTGCACTGCCAAAAACACCTGCAGAACAAACAGAGAGGATTGCTTCAAACTAATTTGATATTGTTGTTTTTTTAAATAGTGCAACACAAACATTTGACACTATTGAATGCATGCATAATTGAAATAAGTTCACATTTTCAAACAAGTAGGATTTATTTTGCATGAGTTATGAATCAGATTGATTGATTTACAGTCATCGTAATTTATACACTCTCAGAAAAAAAGGTACAAAAGCTGTCACTGGGGCTGTACCTTTTCAAAAGGTACACTTTTGTACCCAAAGGCTGCATATTGGTACCTTAGTGGTACATATTAGCACTTAAAATGGACATATTACCACCTGAAAAGGACATATTAGCTCATGAAATTGACATAATTAGCAACTAAAATGTGCATATTAACACTTAAAATGTACATATTAGTACCTCAAATGTACATATTACCACCTAAAATAGACATATTAGCTCATGAAATGGACATATTAGCCCCATAAAATGTACATATCAGCACCTAAAATGTACATATTAACACTTAAATGTACATATTAACACTTGAAATGTTCATATTAAAATTTAAAATGTACATATTAGCACCCAAAATGTACATATTAACACCTAAAATGTACTTATTAGCTCATGAAATGGACAAAAGTTTACCTTTTGAAAAGGTACAGCCCCAGTGACAACTTTTGTACCTTTTTTTCTGAGAGTGTAACATATTCTTATTGTAATTGAAATAGTAAACCGTGCACCTTAAAACAAGTAGAACTTACCAACTAAACACCACAAGCACAAATGGAGGAAAATCGGGTGGATCATTTTCTTCAGCAGTTTGAACGTCAGAACAGTTTCAAATAACGAAAGACTTGATTCTACCGTCAGATGATCTGAAGATGAAAAAGATGTATGAGCTAAAGTGCTCAGTGTGAATAAATACCTTTCAGAGTCTGAACGCCTTCTCACATGACTTATAAAGGAAGTCTAAGGTACTGCAGATTATTGGTCCTCCATGAGATATTTTAAGATTGGTTTGACTTCCCCTATATGCCAGTGTAGGGCCTAATATGTGTATGTGCATTAGTATGATGTGATCTTGGCCAATTTTTGACCTCAGACCACCTGACACATTCTGGTTACATTTTATTATAAGGTGTTGTTTTTACGGCATAATCATATATTTAAGTAGTGCGAAATATTAATTAACAACATGTATTTTGGGTTCAGGTATAGATTCTTTTACTGTTGGTAAGCATGGTGACGTTTTTTGTGGGCGGAGCTTAGGTGGAGGCAGAAAGATCCATCTGGCCGCTTCACTAACGCTAGTTAGCAAGGTTTGTTAGCTTGTTTTTTAACAATGACTGGAGAAAATCCGATATTATCTTAATGTGTGTAAGGTCACTCAGTGTCCAGGACCGCGATTGTTATTTCCAAAAGTTATTTTTAACGGACCGAACCAGTTTGGCCGACCTGTAGCCGCCTAACGTTACACCACTCAATGTATGGATGATCTGACAGGATTAACGCACGTTACCTCGGTTGAGTGGCCTGACTTCTACACCTACCTTATAGAGAAACCGATCGTAAAGAGAAACTGAGGGCATATAAATCTTTAGATGCCAAAATGGTCCTGTACAAGACTTCCCAGACAGCAAACTGACATTGAATCAACGTGGAAACGACGTCTCTCATGACACTGAAACAACGTTGATTTTGCTCATCAAATTAACGTTGAACCAACGTCAGACGCGGCATTCTTCAAAGCTAAATGAAAATCGAAAATTGGTTTGCTTTCATAACGTTGAAACAACGCGTTGATTTCAAGTTGATTTTCCGTTAGTTTTCAAAGAATGACGCGTCTGACGTTGGTTCAACGTTAATTCGATGAGCAAAACAATGTCAGATCAACGTTGTTCCGATGTCATATTTCCACGTTGATTCAATGTCAGTTTGCTATCTGGGTTGTGTGTACGATCCGCAGTTCTGACGAGTCAGCGCCGAGACCACGTGTCATTACAGTGCGATTTTAATGATGTGAATATTTTCTAGAAATAAAAGTTCCAGATACAGCATATTCATTTTTCATCAATTCTTGCACCAAACAACACAACAAGATGACATTTAATAATAGTAACAATTATTTAAGCTCCTTATTATGTAGCCGCATCTGTGCTGTTTAGCATTGACCGCCTCCAGTTTTCACTTTGTTTTGCCTCCAGCTAGCACCGTGACGTAACTGTGACGTCGGCGCAAAAGGATTCGTTTTTGCGTGTATGCGTACTTTGCTGTTATTACTATGGTAAATACATGTTACATTATGTAACAAGGACACTGTAAAATAAAGTGTTACGTACCCAAATTCTCTTGTACAAGTTACAGAGTATACACACTTCACATCTCATCTCATACACACTTTTGTAGAAATATTGTAGAAATTACAACAATCTTCTAAAAAAAATAATTTTCTTCTGATAACCCCCAGATATGGTATATATTAAAGACTATCTGCATGAATGTAATGAATGGAAATTACCCAGAAATAAGAAGTGTTACGCAATGTCACAGACAAGGTTTAGATTTATATGGACGATCTTATAGTTGAACGACGCAAAGAGAACTCGCAAGACGGAGAGGAAGGAGAGAACGGCGCTGGAGAAGATCTTCCACTAAGGCTCAACTTCTTCGAAACATTCATCGTGCACATATAAAAACTAGTTGAACAATTAAATAGAAAATAATACAAAGTGTAAACAGTTTTATGGTTGAAATGTAGTAGACTGTTTAAATGGGTGTTGAATTTGCAGGACAAGCTCTGAGCTCTCTGAGAGGGATACTTTTTTTTAAGGGTCATTGTTAGAAGTGTTATGTGTGTGGGTGTATGTAGCACAACATATTTAGGTTGTTAGTATTTTTAAAGGGAACTGTGAACATCGTTTGCCTCAGAACTACCAGAGAAAAGGTCAAAAGGGCTGTGGTAGAAATACTTACCAAATAAAGCTTTTGTGCATAGTTCACCCAAAAATTCTGTCAACATTTATTCACCCTCTTCTTTTGTTTCACCTCACATTACAGACTAACACTCTGTGCTGTCTCTTTATTTCTTTCTTTTTTTACCTGGGGTTTTATATTTAAAAAACTGAAATTTAAGTCTTTGGTCTATGCAAACAGCAGAATCACAATCAGCTCTAAAATGTGAGGGGTTGATGGTAACTGAAGTGAAAAAGAGTCGGCAGAGGATACGGGACTATGAAATATGAGGAAGGCGTCAGTAGTAGGCCTATACAAAGAAATGTGGGGGTGGAAACAACAACTGCTAAAAAGGATGTGATAATGCCAAGATTACTTATTGGACATATAAACAATACTAAATCAAAGTTTTTATAAAATAGGAAAACATGAAACTGGTAATTGTGATAAATGTGGATAGCCAGAAACAGTAAATCTTGCTGGAATGTACAGCATACAATAGAGAACGATTGAAGTTAGTTCAGTCACTAAAAGGAAAGGTGTGTAAGCAATTATTCACTCAAGGTAATAATAGGAGAAGGAACAAATGATAGAATTCATGAGGAATTATTCAGATTTTGAATGATACCGGTATATGAGTGTGTGTATCTGTGTGTGTGTGTTCGTTCAACTAAGTTGTGCTCCATACTTCATTTCAGTAGGTTGGATACCTAGTTGATTTACCAACCGTCATACAAGAGGAAATAATATTCAGGTACAGATGCATAAAAAAATGAACACGGGAGTAGTGCAATCACTGAATTAAAACTGATGAATGCTAATATAAATAATGATGGTCTTGCTGTGTTTACAGATGACTTATTGCTATATGGTTGGCTTTATTATGGGTCGAGGAATATGGATTAAAAGTGATGTGGTGTGATTCAAGTTCAGCTTTATAAAGAATCTGGCAAGATATTTTTTATGATATAATGCATTTAGTGACTATTCATAAAGTCAGGAGTCACCATGTTGGGTTGTATCCCTGAGTAATGGGGAATGAAGTTGCAGATAAATATGCTGAGCAGATAAAAAACCAAGACAACATTAATATTCAAGTACAATATAGTAAAGCAGAAATCAAAAATACGACTGAAACAAAAAATAAGGGTATATGGAAATATTTATGGGGCAATAAAAGCACAGGCAGACATCTGCATCGAATTCAAAAGAATGTTGGATGGCAGCAGGAGGATGATATTGTCTCAGGAATGAGGAATGGACATACAGGATTGAACAGTAGTCTATTAGCTCAAATGAGAAAACATGCTGATGATTACTGTGAGTGCATGTGGTAATCAAGAAACCATGTTAGAACATTTTCCTAAACACTTATGCTAGAACAATTAGCGTAAGTAAAGAAAAAAAATGAATATTACTGATATAAGAATTTCTGGGGAACAATGTTTTTGGTGTATTTTTTATTACTTGAACACAACAGGACTATTCCATAGAATTTACATTCTCTGGTGTGATCCTGAATCACTCTCAGAAGGTGGCGGTATTGCACCTAAACGCTGTTTGCCAACCGTCGCAACAGGAAGAAGAAGCAGCAGAAGAAGAAACGAGACCGCAAACGAAACGAGAAGGGTCTGACTGCAGAGCCGCAGAGCCGCAGTTTTACCCCAGCAGTTTCACCCCAGCAGTTTTACCCCGCGCATGCGCTTTTACCCCGCGCATGCGCAGTGAAACTGCTGGTGTAAAACTGCTGGGGTGAAACTGCGGCTCTGCGGCTCTGCAGACAGATATTATCGAACGAAACCGCACCGCAGAGACAGTTTGGGACAGTAGTGACTGCGATTTGCGGTTACTTAGACGATGAAGACTAAACGCCTGCGTTTAAAGTCTTTCCGCTATTTTAAAGTCTGTCAATAGGACAACTTGCCGTTCTTCTTTCGTCTCAATTCATCAATTCATTAGAAAGTCACAGTCGGTGTCTCTAGGTTTATTTTGTTAACCGTCGTCGCTGTCAGTCTGGTGGGTGTGGTTTATAACACATCGAAGAATATTAATATCCATCGAAATCAAATTTCGCTAGAATCTACAACAGTATGAAGAGCTCTTCAAATACCGTTTTGTTTATATTACTACTGTCCGGTAAGTGTATGATTTCGGTTACTTTCATTTTCACTTTTTGACACCCACAAAAATTACTAAAAATGAAGAATGTGGGTTATTGTTTCATTCTGTAAGTAATATTATTGTTATTTAACTTAGAAGGAGGGGATGTAGTATCTTTGAGTAACCACTAGGTGTCATTGTATTATAAGTGTTGTGTTTGGTCTGAGAGTTGGACATAAGGGTTGAAATGGGGGAGATGCCACTAGATTTAAGAAGGCAAAAGCTTACAATGATGTACTGGGTTAACTTGCAGGGTTGTAGTAAGAGCCATTGTACACAAGCAATTTTAAATGGCTGTTGGGAATATAAAAAGAATAATGGGAATAGTTTTGGATGGAAGTATAAACAGTGGGTTGAGGAATGTGGTCTGGAAAATATAGATATTTGTCCCAATATTCCATTACAAGGGGTATCAGTGTGGAATATACCTGAGCCTAATGTTGAAATGAGATTGCTGGAGGATAGGGAGAAAGCGGAAGGAAGATATACTAATAGGCATGAAATTAATGCTTTTATAAGAGAAGTTTTTTATTCTTGTATACAGATTTATACAGATGGATCTAAAGACCCAGTAGAACAAAAAGTGGGAGCAGGAGTATATATTCCAAAATTTGAGACTAAAATAAGTTTAAGGTTGAGTGACAAAATGTCTGTATATTCATCAGAATTAACTGCTATAATTGTAGGATTGCAGTGGTTAGAGCAGACTAAGCCAAATAGGATGGCGACTGTAATTTATTCAGATTCTGCATCAGCACTTAAAAGTATACTATCAACAAAAACAGACAGAGAAGACTTGATGGTAGAAATTTATACATTATTATATAGGCTGAACATAGAGGGGATACTTGTATACTTTTGTTGGGTACCGGCACACATTGGGATAGTAGGAAACGAAATAGCGGATAAATTAGCAAAAGAAGCATTAAGGAAAGACTTGGTAGATATTAAGATACCTTTAGGAAGAAATGAAGTTAGATCAATAATTAATAGAGAAATAATAAAAATATGGCAACAAAGATGGGAAAGTAGCAGTACAGGTAGGTGGTATTATAGTATTGTAAAATCAGTAGGGATAAAATATTCGTGCTATGGAAGACATAGAAAGGAAGAAGTAATGATTTCTAGATTAGGGATGGGTCATACAGGTTTAAAATCAACACTGGCATTAATGGGAAAGCATGGAAATGGTATGTGTGATGAATGTGGCATACTTGAAACAGTAGAACATGTGTTTTTTAAGTGTAGTAAATATGAAGATCAGCGTGGGGGTCTTTTTAGAAATATAAAGAACAGGCCAGTGAGCATTATGGACCTATTGGGAAAGGGTTTGAGTGATAGAGAAAGGTTTAAGGAAGTGATAACTTTTTTAGAGCTTACAGGACTAGATCACAGGATCTAGAGCCTGAGGAGGAGAACTGATCATCCTGGAGGTTTGAGGAGCTCAGTGTAGAAGCTGGAGGAGCTGAACACGCAGCGTCAGCTGATACACGAGCTCTGATACTATGGGATGTTTTTTTTTTTTTTTTTTTTCCCTCCTTCTTAATCAGATCCATTAATCATGTGCGTAAGGTATACAGTAGGTGGCGGTAATACTCCAAAGGAGTGAACGGCCATGAAACGAAAAGAAGAAGAAGAAGAAGAAGAAGAAGAGTTACGCCTTATTCACGGCAGCGCCATCTTTGATTTTTAATGAGAATGAAAGCGAGGCTGTGAGGGATAGACTTGCATCTCTTCAATGGGCTGTACTGTTATTTAATGTGTTTTCGGATTGTTCTGCTCATGAAACACTGGAAAATTATCTTTCCAAGAAGTGTCAGTTGACAAAAAGCTCCCGACAATGTAAGTTGTGGAAAATTGTAAGTAATCTGGGAGCTTTATTCAGCTTTTTACAGCGGATGCCATTGGACACGGTAAGTCTATCCCTCACAGCCTCACTTTCATACCTGTCATGATGGCACTGCTCTGAATAAGGTCTATGTAATATGCTGGAGGCATGAGTGTATGTCTTGCAACAAACTGAGTAAAGTATTCACTGTAGAAAAATATTGTTGGTTTAACTTAAAAAAGTAAGTAACCTGGTTGCCTTAAAAATTTTAAGTTGATTGAACTGGAAAAAGTTAATACAATGAAGGAGATTTAACAATCAGAAACTCAAAATAATAAGTTGTCTCAACTAAATAATTTATTATAAAGTTGATTTGACAAAAGAAAATATGTTGTGATAACAAATCTTGAAAATATTTTTTACAGTGTGTATATATAAATGTCCTATAGAAAAATGTCCAGAAATTCAGTGATGCGTGTTAACTCTGCGACACAGCAGAAGATGCAGCACTTTATCTCAGAGAACGAACGAATACATATGTGTGTGTGTGTGTGTGTGTGTGTGTGTGTGTGTGTGTGTGTGTGTGTGTGTGTGTGTGTGTGTGTGTGTGTGTGAGAGAGAGAGAGAGAGAGTGTGTGTGTGTGTGTGTGTGTGTGTGTGTGTGTGTGTGTGTGTGTGTGTGACTTGAACTCTATGAATGTAGTTGTTCGCTTTCTGCAAAGATACTACAGTTTCTGTGCCTGATTTCTAAAGTTATGTGTGGTGGCATGAGGAATATAGGGGGTGGCAACACCAAATCAAGCATTCATTGCAGACCTTTTTTGTGGGATTTATGACCACCATACACTCACACGATTTGTAAAACAATTGCTTTGCCGCAAACTAATTATTCATGTCGTTTATAAATACATTTCCAATTGTTCTGTAAAAAGCTTTTACTGTGGGTTTACTGTTTTGGAAAACACAAATTAACTATGGTTTTATCTAGGCCTATGTTGCTGAACTTATTTTTTTGGTTCTCTTTTAGCAGTATTTGTTGTTGGTCTATTTGGTCTTTTTCATATATTTTTTAATTTGTTGAGTGTCACGTGTTTTGTATGTCAAATATTCATGTCTTTACTATTGAAAAATAAACTTGTTCAAACAGTGATACATTTTAAAATGAGAAATTAGTCGTTTATCATCATCAAACATGCTTATATTAATATAAGATTACTCTTTTTTTGCAGATATGCTACCCTCTAACTACTATTAAAGTTATTGCAGTTGTATTTGTGCAGTGTTGCTCATATTCACTCAGCTAAATGTGATTGTAGATGACCCAACATGAGTTTTCTCTCATTAGTTTGTCACAATGTCATAATTAATTGTTTATAAGACAACAGGTGGTGATGGTGCAGTGAATAAGACACATGCCTTTGGTGTGAGAGACCCTGGTTCGAATCCACTGCAAGACACCAATGTGTCCCCGAGCAAGACACTTAAAGGAGTAGTTCACTTTAAAAAAAAAAGATTTTGCTGATTATTTACTCACCTCCATGTCATCCAAGATGTCCATGTCATACTTTCTTCAGTTGAAAAGAAATTAAAGATTTTGATGAAAACATTCCAGGATTTTCTCCATATAATGCACTTTACTGGGTACCAGACGGTTCAAGGTCCTAAAGACAGTTTCAGTGCAAACTGCAAACTATTCAAAGGCCTTTAAACGATTCCAGACGATGAACAAGGGTCTCATCAAGCCAAACAATCGTTCATTAAAAAAATTAATAACAAATTTTAAGTTTTATAAGTTCAAATGCTCGCCTTGCTCTGTTCTGTGATGCACGTTAGTGACTTCTGTTCGAACTCATTCGTTGAATGAACCAAATAACTCGAAAAAGATTTGTTCATTTTGAAAGGCGCGCATTTGAGCTTATAAAACTTAAACTTTGTTATTTGTTTTTTAAATGAGCGATCATTTCGTTAGATATGACACTTATTCATCGTCTGAAATCGTTTAAAGCCCTTTGAACAGTTTGCACTGAAACTGTCTTTTGGACCTTGAACCGTTTGGTTCCCATTGAAGTCCATTATTTGGAGAAAATCCTGGAATGTTTTCATCAAAAACCTTAATTTCTTTTCGACTGAAGAAAGAAAGACATGGACTTATTGTATGACATGGGGGTGAGTAAGTTATCAGCAAAAGTTTTTTTTAAAGTGAACTACTCTTTAATCCCTAGTTGCTCCAGAGGTGTGTGACCTCTGACATATATAGCAATTGTAAGTCTCTTTGGATAAAAGCGTCAGCTAAATGGATAAAAGTAAAAAATGTAAATGTAAGACAAGACTAAATTATCCATTATAAATCTGTTCATTAATATCAGCAGCAGTCTTATATGAGTTTAATCTCTGAGAAACTGTTTCTGTTTGTTTTACAGGAGTGTTTGGTGTTGCAGATGAAGTGAAGACAGTGTCAGTGATGGAGGGAGAATCTGTCACACTAAACACTGATCCTTCTAAAACACAGACATTTAATCTGATAGAGTGGAGGTTTGGAGCGTCAGGTTCAGTCATTGCTGATACTGATAAAACTAAAAGCTCATATCCCTATCTCACTGAGATATTCGAAGGCAGACTGCATATTGATGGTCATAATGGATCTCTGACCATCAAGAACATGAGAATCAAACACTCTGGACTTTATAAACTAGTGATCATCTGCAACTCTGATACCATTTATACAACGTTCAGTGTTACTGTCTCTGGTGAGGATTCTTTACATTATTTTTTTAATTAGTTGTTTACAAAAGCATTATCTACAGAACCAGTTAGGAACTTTTGAGGACCACATTGAGGAACTTCTGTTATTCTGTCTGTACTTTTGTAAAAGTTTTTAACCAAGCAAATTAAAATTTATTTAAAGGTACAATATGTAAGATTTTTGTAATATAATATCCCAAAATCATTTGCACAGTGTGATATATTTCCTGCAGTTTTGTACTTACAAATATCCCAAAAGTTCCCAAAGATTTTTAATCTTATAAATAAAAAAATTATAGATTTAGAAATTCCAATTTTAAATAATGTCTCGTCCATGTTCACTTGTCGCCTGTCAATAACGTAATATCCGCGTTATCCCTGGTTCCTGCTTGTATTTCCATAGTAACCATGGCGACAGATGTATACAACTGCGTTATGTCTAGCGGCACGCTCACGCAGTTGTTGTTTCGTTCAAACGAATCAAACGTATCAGCGTGTCGTTTTCGAGATGCCGAGAGCTCCAAGTCCGCGACTAACTTCGACTTGACGAGATGCCGCTCTTGCGTGTACTTTATTAGACAGGTGAGCAAATATACATAAAACAAATCAATGTTATATAGCTCAACATGATGAAATATTGGAATATGATCAGTGTGTTATTCTAATGTTGATCTACTGTAGCTTACTGAACTAAAACATAGAATAACATTATAACTTTCAACACACTCGTTCAGTTTAGTGTGATAGTGTTGACCAAGTGAACAATGCTGCGTAACATCACAAGTGTAATTCGTCTAATAAACTGACCTGTGTGGGTAGTAATTCAGCACTTGCGGGTAGTTCGGTAGAATGAAATCTCCTCATTCCTTTATATCCGCGTGACTATCGAATGCATTCATTCATCTAAACGTCATTAGATATTAGATCCATCAGCATGATGACAAGTTCCATAATTCCGCTTATACGTCGTCAACCTACGCCTTTATTGTAAGCCCTACCTGTGAAAAAAATGACATATTTTAGCTTTAAGGTTTTTAGAAAAAAAACATAGTTTGGCTGGGCAACGATTAATCGCGATTAATCGCATCCAAAATAAAAGTTTGTGTTTAAATTATATATTTGTATGTAGTGTGTATAATTATTTTGTACATATAAATACACACACATGCATGTAAATATTTAAGAAAAATGTGTTATAAATATATAAAATATTTATATATAATATTACTTATGTATAAATATATATATAAAGTATATACATGCAAATATTTCTTAAATATATACATGGAAGTGTGTGTATTTATATATACAAAATAATTATACACACTACACACACATATATTATGTAAACACAAACTTTTATTTTGGATGCGATTAATCGAGATTAATCATGCTCAGCCCAAACTTTTTATAAAACCAAAAACTAAATTTTTTTTTTTAATAACTAAAATCGGCTAAAATATATTCAACATGATATAGTCATAGAGGCTCGCACACTTGCCATTAAAAAGGAAATAAAATAATCTAATGTGTTCAACAATCTAACAGAATTGTAGTTTCACAATATCACCGTCGTGCTGTGATTGGGTCGCAGGGGATCACATGACTGATTTTCAGAACAGCAGCATGGCAGATGTGTGATGTTGGTTTTTATACTGCAGTACTACAACGATTGAATTTTTGCCAGGAACAGTGTTCAGTCTCTGTCTGTGAATCTGTTTCTTGCAGAGTCTCCAACGGATGCTGATATTGATTCTGGTGAAGCTGAAATGAAGACTGTGTCAGTGAATGATGTTGTCATTCTTCGGACTGATGTTAATGAAACACACGGAGATGAGCTGATAGTGTGGAGGTTTGAAAGAAAACTCATAGCTAAATGTGATATAGAGGCCGATGGCCTAACAAAAGATAAGGATGAGAGATTCAGAGACAGACTGAAGCTGGATAATCAGACCGGATTTCTGACCATCACAGACATCAGAACCACAGACTCTGGAGTTTATACAGTGAAGATCAACAGCAACAAACAGACATTATACAAGAAATTCAATGTTACTGTCAGTGGTGAGTAACTCAAGACTTTGAAGTTATGATTGTTTATCAGCTGTCTGCGATTAATTCAGATGATGTGACATTAAAGGACTTGAATCATGAGCAATTTATATTCGATGACATCATACTGCAAATTTCAGAGCACAAAACCCATTCCCCAGACCTTTTCATTAGCTAAAACGGCTTGATGTGAATTGAACTTTAATCTCCATCACTGATTTGATTTTAATGTTTACATGCAATTAACTAACCAGCATTAACATAAAGATCTACTAGATCTTCTCTCAGGTTATATAGTGCTGATGATTGAGTGTTTGTTACTGTCTGTCTCTCTTTATCATTACCGAACCAGGTCTGTCTTCGGGTGCTAAAGCAGGAATAGTTTTTTTTGTTCTGCTGGTGTTTTCAGCTGCAGCTGGGGTTTTTCACTATCGTCACATAATCTGCTCTCCAAAATGTTTAGGGGGTAAGTATAACAACCCATTCAACAAGAGATTTTCCATAGTCAATAGTTTTGCTAGTGATTGTGATTGCTCAAATAACCACTTAAACTGCACATAAAGCTATCAAATGAGTTAAAAAATGGTGATCATGATCATGAAAATCATATCATATCTTCTCAGTCCTCCAGTGTTATTGACATCTGCTCAATTTTATCTCCTGTTTTCTGTTTATGTGCTGACTAACAAGATGAGGAGTCCTCTACACAGGAATCAAAGCCGTGTAAGTATTAAACCTGATACAGCGAGAACAATTCGATTATTGTGTGACAGTAAAGTTCGAATGTAGTTTTCATATTCAGAATTTCTAAATTTTTTTACCACATGTTCTGTTTGTGATATGAAACATGTGATTGCTCAATATTGAGCTGCATGATATAAATATACTTAGAATTGACCAGAACAACATTAAGACTGTTTGATTGTGCCTGCATTGTGCCAGCATTCATGTAATGTTTGCTCTACTGTTTTGATTTTAACATGGGCCGTCTGACTTATATTTGTGTTATTGTGTGTGGCTTCACTTGACTTTAACACAGAAACCATTAAGATGGCGCTGCACTTGTGTTTTTTTACGATTTGATGCTTCCGGTTAATACTGAGTGAGTTGGTTTATCTCATCATATCTGGTAAGTAGTATTAATTATCAATATTTAAGCAGTTAAAGGTTGTATCAGTGATTTTAGGCCCAAAAATAAATGATCAGATTCATCAAATTTTTCCTAACTGTCCACTAGCTGCCCGCCCCATCAGCAGGCCGTCAAAAAAACGTGCCTCTGTAGGCTCTGAAATCTACACACAAAAACATTGGGGTACCACCACCCAAAACCAAAATAAAAAAGATTGCACACGCTCAGAATCATTCAGTAGTGCAGAAATGTATTGTCAACACTGTTCTGTGTTTTATCGAGCCCGTTCTCATCCTTTGGCGTCATATAGGTGACGCCATATGACATTTTGGCGAAAATACTACGCACATGGAACCCTTTAGCGTCAATATAACACGCAAACCCAAGGCGTCATACAGGTGACTGGCATCCTTTAGCGTCAATATGAGATGCAGACCTTACCCCAGACCTAAACCTACCCATAACAGTGCGTGTTATATTCAGTGGTGGAATGTAACGAAGTACAAATACTTTGTTACTTTACTTAAGTACATTTTTCACGTATCTTTACTTTACTTAAGTACAATAAATAGAGCCTACTTTTTACTTTTACTTCGTTACATTTTGCAGCAATTATTATACTTTCTACTCCACTACATTTCTACAACTTCTGTTACATTTTCGTTACATTTTCTGATCAGTTTTTCCCCTGCCAAAACGTAATTTGACCGTCCGTTCGTTGCACGTTTGTCTCACCAGTGACGTTTGGTTGCCATAGATACAGTATATCAACCCGGTCACACTAAATGCGTCTCGCACGCAGTGTGTTTATCGTGCAACTCATACGCGAAAATTTGTTTTTATGTGCATAGGAAACACACCGTGTGTAATATCCGTGTGTAATGTTTGGTTTGGTTAGGATTATATGGCAAGCCAAGAGGTTCAGAATTACACCATAAATTAATCTCGTTTACTGCCAAACATAGTTATTAACATATAGTAAGGATAAGCATGATATTGCCTAATTGCAAGCTTGTTTCAGAAATGGTGACATTTTTTTCCATTATTATTGAACATCATTATAGGAGTAGGCTATTAGGTTGAATGAGTTAGAATTAAATGTTTTATTAATCATTAGAAAATAGACATTAAGATAATAAATTGTTATGCAAGTACTTTTACTTTTAATACTTAAAGTACATTTAAAATAAAGTACTTTTTACTTTTTACTTAAGTATGGTTGTCATTGTGTTACTTCTACTTTTACTAAAGTAAATATTTATCTGGTTATTTGTACTTTTACTTTAAGTACTGAGATTCAGTACTTCCTCCACCACTGGTTATATTGACGCTAAAGGGTGCCATGTGCGTAGTATTTCGACGAAATGTCATATGACGCCAAAGGATGAGAATGTGTTGGTTTTATCATTATCATTATCAAAATAGCTTAGAAACTGAAAAGTTCTAGCATATATTTCTTGGCAACTAAAACCCACAGCTGCACTATTAGTTGAGAGACACTGCCATGTGTCTGCCAAAAGAACTGATAAAAATAAGCTGCTAAGAGCTATAGCCTTGTGGGCAGCGCTTATTTATGGTTCAGGCTTATTAGTACATTAAATACGGCATCAGCGGCTAGTCTACTCGACTTTCATCACATGTATGTCTGTTGACTTTAAAAAAAGAACTACGAACTGTGTCCCGCTTTAATATTGAAAATATCCCAGCACTGGAGAGACGTTGGAGAGCGGGAAGGGAGGGAAGGCCTGGAAATGAGAACAGAGGTTGCTATATTTCTGCTCAATGTGTGAGTAACATTGTTTTTTTGCTGTTTCACAGATGAAAGATATGCTGTTGTTTTTTAATCACAGTTGATTTAGCCATACTGTACTTGGTCAAGCTGTAGTTGTTGCCTGTGTTGCAGTGATTTGTGAGCATTGAAGGGAGGGGTGTGTTTGATTGTGTGTCGGTTTTACAAATTATCAATGGTATTTCTCAGAAATCTCTTATTGCACCTTTAAATGAATAGCTGACCCAAAAATAAAAATTATTTATTTGCCCTCATGTCATTTCAATGTTATTTTTTCTGTGTCCCACAGAAGAAATTCAAACACATTTGAAATGACAATAAAACTGACATGTACATGACAACAAAATTGACATTTTAGGTGATCGTTTCTTAGTTAATGAAGGAATATTACTGTAACAGTATCGTGGAAATATCCTTAAACTGTTAATAGTAGTTAATATTAAAATGTATACATGACCATTAAACAATATACAGATTGATACATTGTTTTCATGCATTGTTTATTATTAATTCACATCCTTGATTATTAAAAGCACTTTTCAATCTTCAAACTCACTTAAAATCTTCCCATTTCTCTGTTTCTAGCCACTGATGTGAAAGGTGAAGAAACGATCCGTAAACAGCTAATTAGAATGTGTAAGTATTTACAATAAATGCGTGTATTCATTTTGTCAAATTTATTTTAAAGTATAGGTGGAAAATATGTATTATCTAGAAAACTATTTAAAAAAAACATCTTCAAAGAAGTTATTTAAAGGAAGAAATTAAAGTAAAAACATTAGATGATATTCATCCTCTTTTGAGCTTTGATTAAAGTTTGTAAAATTATTAGAGTAAATAATTTGATAGGATGAACAAATAATATATTCAATGAAATGAAGGTTACATAATATTAAAATAACATGGGAAATTTTAATAGACAATAAAATATCAGAAGGAGATTGGAAACAAAGTTGTAAAGAAAATTTAAGAATTACTTATTCTTCATATTGCCAAGAATATCCTTGGAAAATTAATATGTGATATTTTGTGATTGCTGTTGGACCGATGAAGACAAGACCGTATCAGTAAAGGAGGGAGAATCTGTCACTCTGATGACTGATGCTGAAATACAAATCGATGATCATATACAATGGAGGTTTGGACCTCAACAGAAACCCATAGCTGAAATCAAAGGCGAGACCAGAGAAATCTCATATCATGGTGCCGATGGGAGATTCAGAGACAGACTGAAGCTGGATGAGAAGACTGGATCTCTGACCATCACACACACCACAACTGAACACATTGGAGTTTATAATCTACAGATCAACAGAAACAGAGGGAGGTTGTATCAAAGATTCATTGTCACTGTTGAAAGTGAGTAGCTCAAAGTTTTCAGTATAATAATAATCACATGTCTTTATTGGCAGTTATTTCACACATTACATTTGATAAATTACTATGTGTCTGTTGATTTGTGTATGGCACATGTTTTCTTCATCTGTTTGGATGAGGAGAGGTACAGCCCTGATGAATGGAAGGCAGTCTTGAGACACAATATGGGCCTGTCCAAATAACCATTTTTTTGTAGTCTTTGCACTTGACCACTTGCATGACGTATTTCCTGTATTCGGCCTTCAAATCTTCAAGTAGGCGTGAAGACTGCAAGTGCAGTACTTCTGATTACCCGTTGGGACACACTTACAGTATAGTGTTGTTATACTCTCATATTTATTCTTGTAAAATAATAAAAAATAATTTTGGACAGAAGAAAGTACTGGAGGACATTTTTAAGAAATCAAATATAATAAATATACAAAATATATGTTTGGGTGTAGGACTAATGCTACTTTATAAAGATGAGTTATGTAAGGGTTAATGCGCCATAGGACGGTTGCCTCCACCAAAGTCCATTAATACCTGACAATGGACACCTCGAAGGGCTTTAACCCGCTTATACCATGGTCACTTGCCAAATAACACATTTTTAAAACATTAGTTTATATTTAATTAGTTTTACAATCGAAATCTAAAGTTTTTACAAACAGTAACTTGGGTTCCCTGGTTACGCTTGACGATTTATTTAGCAAGCGGATATATTTATTTTTATTTATAGTCCGCTCGGGTTTTAAAAATCTCCTAATTTCTCTGTTTTTATGTGCTGTTGGACAGATGAAGACAAGACCGTATCAGTAAAGGAGGGAGAATCCGTCACTCTGAAGACTGGTGCTGAAATACAAATCGATGATCATTTACAATGGATGTTTGGACCTCAAGAGAAACCCATAGCTGAAATCAGAGGTGAGACCAGAGAAATCTCATATCATGGTGCCGATGGGAGATTCAGAGACAGACTGAGTGTGGATGAGAAGACTGGATCTCTGACCATCACAAACATCACAGCTGAACACATTGGAGTCTATAAGCTACAGACCACCAGAAACAGAGGGGCGTTGTATCAAAGATTCATTGTCAATGTTAAACGTGAGTAGCTCAAGGATTTCAGTATAATAATAATCAGATATCTTTATTGGCAGTTATTTCACACATTACATTTGATAAATTACTGTGTGTCTGTTGATTTGTGTATAATACATGTTTTCTTCATCTGTTTGGATGAGGAGAGGTACAGCCCTGATGAATAGAAGGCAGTTTTGAGACACAATATGGGCCTGTCCAAATAACCAAACTTGTAGTCTTTGCACTTGACCACTTGTCTACTTGCATGACGTATTTCCTGTATTCGGCCTTCAAGTGTTCAAGTAGGCGTAAAGACTGCAAGTGCATAGAACTTTTGATTACCCGATTGGACACACTTACAGTATAGTGTTGTTATACGCTCATATATTTTATACTTGTAAAATAATAATAACAATTTTGGACAGAAGCAGGTAATGGAAGACATTAAGAAATTTAAATATAATAATGGTACAAAATATATGTTTGGGTGTAGGACCAATGCTACTTAATAAAGTTGAGTTATGTAAGGGTTAATGGCCCGTAGTCGCTTATACCATGGTCACTTCCAAATAACACATTTTTAAAACATTAGTTTATATTTAATTAGTTTTACAATCGAAATCTAACACAAGGGTTGTTTAGGGCTCATTGCCATTAAAAAGTTTGAAACCTCTTGCTAAAGAAAATATTGGAAATTCATAAGCAACAAACAATCATTTAACTTTGATGGTTTAATGCTTCCTGTACACAATTCATTGACTGTACAAAAATACTTTATGGTTTTCCCAAACCATCTCAGTGTAACAGCTTACTTTTCTTTCTTACTATATTCTTTTATTGTAAAGAATTGAACTGTCCTGCAAAAGATTTTGTAAATTTATTTTTCATAGTATTTATTGGTAAAGACTGTACAGTTAACAGCACTGGAAAAAAATATCAGATAACCTAAAATGTGCTTGTTTTTCACAAATATGATTTAATACCAATACGTTACATTAAGGGTCAAATAAAATATAAATGGCACATTCAAGTTGTTCCTGTGTTGTGGGTTTGAAAATGTGGCGCTTTTAAGATGATGTCATGGCAGTAGAGGCACGCGCAAATAACGATCAGTCCCACACACTTTGAAGGGGTACTACTGCAGTGGAAACGCAAAGCGAACCGAACTGTTCCGCGCAAGAGTCGAACCGTACCGTACTATGCAGTGGAAAAGCGCCATAGGTGTCCTCTATCACTTTTTAATGGACACCCTGCAGCCAATCAGAATCGAGTGTTCACCCAGACCATGGTATATACTTATTTCGAAAACCGAGAGTTACAGCTTTTAAAGCAATAACAAAATTTTAGAGAAGGCAAGAATCCCCAGTTTTGAAAATCTCCTAATTTTTCTGTTTTTATGTGCTGTTGGACAGATGAAGACAAGAACGTATCAGTAAAGGAGGGAGAATCCGTCACTCTGAAGACTGGTGCTGAAATACAAAACAATGATCAAATACAGTGGATGTTTGGACCTCAAGAGAAACCCATAGCTGAAATCAGAGGTGACACCAGAGAAATCTCTACATATCATGGTGCCGATGGGAGATTCAGAGACAGACTGAGTGTGGATGAGAAGACTGGATCTCTGATCATCACAAACATCACAGCTGAACACATTGGAGTCTATAAGCTACAGACCACCAGAAACAGAGGGAGGTTGTATCAAAGATTCATTGTCACTGTTAAAAGTGAGTAGCTCAAGGTTTTTAATATAATAATAATCACATGTCTTTATTGGCAGTTATTTCACACATTACATTTGATAAATTACTATGTGTCTGTTGATTTGTGTATAGCACATGTTTTCTTCATCTGTTTGGATGAGGAGAGGTACAGCCCTGATGAATGGAAGGCAGTCTTGAGACACAATATGGGCCTGACCAAATAACCAAACTTGTAGTCTTTGTACTTGACCACTTGCATGACGTATTTCCTGTATTCGGCCTTCAAGTGTTCAAGTAGGCGTAAAGACTGCAAGTGCGAAGAACTTTTGATTACCCGATTGGACACTCTTACAGTATAGAATAGAGTTGTAAAAATATTTACAGAGCTTTATTTACACATTTTGATTTTCAATACTTTGCATATTGAAATAAACGTATTTGACAGACAACACAGTTTAGTCATTGTGGTGCTTCTAATTAAGTGCTAAAAAGCTATTGCAAATGTTGTATAAAAATAGACATTTTTATAGACACCAATAAAGTTGTGAAACACTTTGTTTTACTACCAAATTCTATGTAATATCTAATTAATTTAACTTAGTGGAATGTTTTCCTCGACATCTCTCAATTTCTCGGTATGCGAGTTCACGGACATGAAGCAAATTTTGTTATTTGGACACGCCTAAGCGGTTGAAGCACAGAACTACAAGTTACTTGCGAAGGAACATTGGGTCTTATTCACTAACAGTTGTGTACACTATTCGTATTTATACAAACTTCTTATGAAAAATGTCCTCCTAATTCAGAAAAACAAATAGCATACTCGTATATTTGTCTATGGTCCCATTCTAGATCCTTATTGGACAACTGTGTTTTTGCTCAATAATAAAGTGTTCCAAGTTAGTTTGTTCAGAGACCCCTCAATATAAATTTTATGAGTTAAGCCAGTTTTAATATGGTGTGAGAAAAGAATATGTATCTTTTATGAATACTCCTAGATGCTGATAAGTAGAAAATGCCACGACACTTGCAGAATGGTTACAGACAGTGAGGGAGATTTACGTGATAACACACAGATTGAAACTAAGAATGAGTCAGTTTAATGAGCCTTTAATGAAGGGACTGGGCGAGATGTGGGGGTAATGTTTTCGAGGATATATTGTTCTGTACTATAGTTGTTGACTTCAAATAGACTGGCTGGTTACACTTGGCAAACTTGATGTAACAGAAACATTTTCTTTGTATTTTTCTCTTTTAATGCGTCTTAAATAAAGTCGCATTGATATCATTGCTGGAGGGAGAACCGGTCACTTTATCTCCTGATACTGAAATACAGAAAGACGATCTGAAAGTGTGGATGTTTGGAGACACTCTCATAGCTGAAATGCCCAGAAAGAAAAAAACAGGTGAAGGTCCTGATGGGATATTCAGAGACCGACTGAAGCTGGACAAGAAGACTGGATCTCTGACCATCAAGAGCACGAGAACTGAACACTCTGGGCTTTACATCCTACAGATCAATGGAACCACAAACAAGAGATTCAAAGTTGACATAAATTGTGAGTAGAAATTATCTTTTATGTGATTCATCGAAATGAACACAACTGAATTTTAATAGTTAAAGTGCAAATTGAGTTACTTTTATGTGTTAATCATTTTGTATTCTCCTCAATTTATTAAATGTTATTGTGCACAAAATGATGAATTGATAGAGTACAGTAAATTACTGGCCAAGTTAATCATAAATAATGAGCCAATACATTATGATCATGTTCCTGAAATGCTCTTGGTTCTCCACGTGCTGCCAAAACAGCTCAGACCTGCCGAAGCATGAGGTCTGGACTCTACAAGCAACATGACATCATGACTTTTGCGTAAACATACACGCCACTTTCAAGTCACAGACTGATCTCATGAAGTAGCGTGTGTATTAAACGCCAATTCGTATTTCCATTTTTGGCGTGCTATCAAGACGCATAATCGCCTTTCAGCGTGTTTATGAACGCCGTTGACTTAACGTTATATAAACATATGACTTACCTCAACCCCGTCCCTAAACCTAACCGTCACTGGGGTTAATGGCATTTATGACTGTTCCCTTACCATCCTAGGAAAGAAAAAGATATGACTTACCTCAACCCCATCCCTAAACTTAACCGTCACTGGGGTTAATGGCATTTATGACTGGAGATTTGACTGCGTGTTCAGACACGTGGAATGACGCGGACGTTAATGGCGTAGACATATACGCATACACGCGGATAGCTCAAATTGCGTGGAGATAACACGCCACCTGACTCGAAAGTGGCGTATATGTTTACGCAAAAGTCATGATGTCATGTTGCAAGTCAAGTGGCGTGTTATCTATACGCATTTTGAGCTATCCGTGTGTATGCGTGTCTACGCCATTAATGTCCGAGTGATTCTGCTTGTATGTTCACGCCGTTCCACTATTGGTGGAAGTTCCCGGGTTTTGGCATGTTTGCACCGCAGGGACTAGGAACGATTTTAGTTCTAGGAACTAATTTAGCTCCTACTTCAGATTCGGTCTAAACCAGCACAATACGCCTTATTCACGGCAGCGCCATCTTTGATTTTTAATGAGAATGAAAGCGAGGCTGTGAGGGATAGACTTGCATCTCTTCAATGGGCTGTACTGTTATTTAATGTGTTTTTGGATTGTTCTTCTCATGAAACACTGGAAAAATATCTTTCCAAGAAATGTCAGTTGACAAAAAACTCCCGACAATGTAAGCTGTGGAAAATTGTAAGTAATCTAGCCGCTTTATTCAGCTTTTTACAGCGGATGCCATTGGAAACACGGTAAGTCTATCCCTCACAGCCTCACTTTCATACCCGTCATGGCGCTGCTCTGAATAAGGTCTATAGGAACCATCAGTAAGGTTATTGTACGCCGATTGGCCGAACGCACGCGAAACACCAGCACCCACCATTTAAAAAAAAAGCCATGTAAACACAGATTATAGCCTATATTTACTCCGGATACTAACTCTACGAACATGGAAAACAGTGACTCTTAACATTTACGCTGAGGAGAAAATTCAACGCGACACTAAGCGGACCAAGCCAAATGTGATTATACATGTATTCCTGCTCAGCTAGCAACACTGGTCATCAACCACATGGCAAACGCTAATAACTTTTCATTAGTGTCTAAACAGCTCTGTCTAATAATGCAGTGTTTCCCAACCCTGCTCCTTGAGGCACACCAACAGGGCACATTTTGGATGTCTCTTTTTTCTGACCCATATTTCTGGTCTTGGAGTCTCTACTAACGAGCTGATGAGTTGATTCAGGTGTGATCGATTAGGAAGAGTTGGAAAATGTGTAGTGTTGGTGTGCCTCCAGAAACACTGTCCCTGCATCCCAATTCGCATACTATCCGTCCTAAATAGTATTCGAAAATAGAATTAGTACGTCCCAAACCGTAGTATGTTGAAATGAGTGTTTCAAAGATACCCGGATGGTCTACTTTTTCCGGTCAGAATCCGAAGTGTAGATCGATGCACACTCTAACGGCTGATATTGCCCACAAACCATTGCGCGTTGGACGAGGATTCGGTTAGAACTACAAACACGAGTAAAAAGTGTTAAAAAACTACAGACACGTAGTCGATACGGAGGACGCGCGAGTCCCCGCGGTTGTGTAGAGAGGTTTAGATAAAGAGCTTCGGGTGATTAATTATCATTATCTAACCTGACGAAAATGAATTTATTCAATGTTGTCTACATTATATTGCATTTGCAGCAGCACTGTGAACTTTTGTAAAGACACGTTTTAGCCATTGCGTTATAAATGCATCATTATATTCAAATTGCAAACACGAGGAGAGCATGAAAGACCCACAACTGGCAGATGAACGTGCTCTCCGAAACGGTAGGAAATAAAATTAGATAGAATGGAGGATTTTAACTGTGACGAGATGATTGACAGGGCAGTTTACGGTGACAGGATGCACGCAGCACGCGACAGAGCTGTCCGTTAAAGATGACGTGATAGTATTTCCCAAAGCTTGCCTACTATTTTGCTACACACTCAAAAGTATGTACTTTTTCCTCACAAAAAGAGTACATACTTTTAGGGCCTAGTATAAGTAGGCGAATTGGGACGCAGCATCTAATAATGTTTTAGACAGGACTGTTAGACAGATCATAAACTAATGAACATGGAGAATGCAATCACTGTGTGCTCGGGCTCTGGCGCTCTCAGCACCGTCAAAGTAAAAGTCTTCCACGCCGTCAAAATAAATCACACCAACAAGCGCGGCTTACATCACTTCAGAGTTCCTAATGGGGGTGCAAATGCAACAAGGAAAACACTCCCCGTTCTCTGGGAAAGACCCTGGTGGATGGTTCCTAGAACTATCCGGTGCAAAAGCCCCTATTGGCACACTGATTAGTCTGCAGCTAGGCAGCATCTCTGTGTTGTGACACATTCCTCCCTTAACCATAATTAAAATGCTGTTACTTGTGCAACAGTAGACCTTTTGTTGGTTTGGAAAATTCTTATCACTGCTGACTGGGAGAACACACTCAAGCCTTGCTATTTCAGAAATAGAAATACTCTAACCCAGTCGCCTTTGCCATTATAATAACACCCTTGTTAACCCTAAACCTGTATTCTGGACTAATGTGGGCAAAATAGTTTTGATTTATTTTTAAAAAATTCTTCCCTTGATCTGAGCGGTACAAGACTTGGCTACTTTTCCTAAGTTTGCCTCTTGAACACACACAATTTTTTTTTGACTCAATTTTACAATGTTAAGTGGGTGAAAAAAACAACTCCTCAATCTTGTATTTGGGTCAAAAATGGGCACCCATAGAAATGAATGGGAAAAACTGTAATTTAGAGCATTCTATAAGCCAAAATAAGACACCAGGTGACAGCAAAGTCACTTCATCTTTAGTTTTTAGCTCTAAGAACTTATTGGAATGATATTTTAATGTAGTTAAAAAATGTAAAAAATAAAACTACATAGTAATTAATTTACATAATTTAAATTACTTTTTGAAGTAAATAAATTCAAAAATACCCCCAAAATAAAAAGAAAAACCCTAAATGGATAGACAAAACTTTATCGAAGACAGTGATATAACATTTATAATAAACAAAAATTAGGATCACACCTGAGTCATCTGTGCCCACAATTACAGGATTAAGGGCTATAAAGTGAATACTGTTTTACAGTCACTCGATCTTTATTGCTGCCCGTTTCTCATGCATCAAAACACTGATTGAGAACTGATTGTTTGCTTTACCATCTAATCTATCCAGACCTTAATGTGGGCTTGTTAAGAGATGATCAAAGATATTTGCTTCACCTGTGACTGGTCATTTATGTTTTGGCTCATAGGTGTGCGGTGTATTAAAAATATTATTTTTTTTTTATTTAGTTTTTTCTTACCAATAGCAGTACACAAACACACATATACACATCCTCAATGAGGCTTTACTGACACACGTCACATAATCTCCTCATTTCTCTGTTTTTGATATAAAGTGAAGAAAGTGTCAGCCAAGGAGGGAGAGTCCGTCTCTCTAAACACTAATGCTGTAATACGGAGAAAAGATGACTTACAGTGGATGTTTAAAGATGAAAAAACTACCATAGCTGGAATCAAAAAAGATTGGATTGGAAAGATCACCACATTAGACGTTGATAGTAGATTCAGAGGCAGACTGCAGCTGGACGAGAAGACTGGATCACTGATCATAACAAACATCACAACTGAACACGAAGGAGTCTATTCTCTGAAGCCCGTCGGCAGTAAATCCACCGAAATCAAGAGATGGAATGTTACTGTCAGAGGTGAGTATCTCAAGTCTTTCTTTTTTATTGATTTGTTCATTTGATCCAAACCCTGTGTTACGGACTGCTCCAAGACAAGAAGATGGTTGAGGATCCAAATGCAGTTTATTAAGGTTAATCCAAATCATAATCAGAATCAAGGCAAAGGTCATACACAGGCAGGCAATCCAAACAAACAAACAAATCCAGAGGGTGAGGCAGGAAAGGGAAAACCAGGAAACGGGCAGAGATCAGGAACAAAGAAAACAAAGGAAATGCTCAGAAATGCAGTGGAATGACATACAAGACTTCGCAGGGAATGATGAGGAGAACCAGGCTTATATGAGTGAACTAAACAATATAATGAGACACAGGTGAATGTGATAATCAGGATGAGTCCGGGCAGTGAATTATGGGAAATGTAGTTGTGAGTGATCAATGATAGTCTGATGTGGAGTGGCTCTCAACGGGCACTCCAGCTGATAACCGTTACACCCTGAGTGTGAACTCACACTAAGATGACAGTTTGGAGAGACCGAATTAAACCTAATTAAATACTTTAAAAATATTAATTGTTTGAGGTAAGGGTGTCAGGGTTCCATTACTTCTGTCTAGTATATTTCTTGGTTTTGTGACAGAGCCCTGACATTCCTGTCTTGTCTGTGTGCCTTTTTTTTTGTGCTTTAATGTCATGTTTTGTCCAACACTATCTCACGACCAATTCGTACGAATTTGAAGCATGATTAAAAAGTTTCTGATTCGTACGACCTCACTCGTACTAATTCCTATGATTTGTCTAAACCCACGTGATGGTTAGGTTTAGGGGCGGGGTCAGGGGTAGGTCATTCGTACGAATTCATACGAATTGGCCAATTCGTAAAATATGTACGATTTAGCAAAATCGTATTAATTCGTACGTGTGAGGTCGTATGAATTGTTACGAATTAGCCACTTTTTAATCATTCGTCGAATTCGTACGACTTGGTCGTGAGATCGGGTTGGTTTTGTCTTGTGCTGTGTAGCACACAGCTTGTTTATCACTGGCTGTGTGCTTTCATGTTGTCATGTTTTGTGTGAACACATGGCTTATGAGTGTTCTCATCGGCTGCATGTTCATGACTAGTTTCGTGCTAGCACATGGCTTGTGATTTGTTTTACTGGCCATTTGCTTGTGTTTTAGTCATGTTTGGTGGAGTCCTCGCTACTTCCACCTGGCCCAAACCCTGACAGGGAGAGTTTTTTTTTTTTTTTTACATGAAAATAAATATAGCAATTCAAATGTTAATTTTCTGATATTTCTATCAGTGTCTCTATGTGTATAGTTTGTCACTCTGTCCTGCTGGAGGCTCTTTTTTCATGACAGGACCTCTCATGGCCAGGTTTAAACTATCTGGGCTCTCGTAGCAATAGTGGGAGTTTGTCCATATTTGATTTCTGGTGGGATGTCAAAAAGCGGAGCTCTGTTTCCACTTGATTCTGTGTGCAGTGAAGGCACAGCCGCTCTTTAATGGTCTTTGATGCATATGAATATGTAAAGTTCATTTTCAAGCTGGTTTTAAATCCCCATCTGAATAATCTTTGTGGAGTACTGTCAAACTATGATGTTCACATGCACACGCACTTATATAATGGAAACCTTTTCTCTGTATTTATCTTGTTCTTAGTGTTGAAGTCAGTAGAGATAAGTGGAAGGAATGTGACTCTAAACACTGACACTGAAGTACAGAGAGATGATCTGGTCCTGTGGATGTTTGGAGATCAAGACGATCTCATCGCTCAACTGACCGGAGAGACTGGAGAGATGACGTATGGCATGAGATTCAGAGACAAACTGACGCTGAACAAGAACACCGGATCTCTGAGCATCAGTGACATCACATCTGGATCTTATAATCTACGGATCACCAGCAGCAAGAGGACGTCATACAGGAAATTCAGAGTTTTCAAGCCTTGTGAGTCTTTCGTTTTCCTTTTAGTACTATTGCTAAAGAAATGATGAGCAAAATGTATACAGTATGTCTCATCCTTGCACCAAATTAAATAAAAACAACCCTGCAAACCAATCTACAACACATTTGATTAGCTATTAATCTGGTCTGCATACAGTGAACAGAAATCATTCACAAATGACAACACTCTACAGTAGTAAAGTCATAGCAACGTATTTCTATAGACAAAAGGCATCATTAACATACATCCTGCAGGAAAAGTACACAAGCTAAGAATTCTTTATATATATATATATATATATATATATATATATATATATATGAAGAGTTCAAATGCAAAAGCCTCTAAATGCCATTTGAAATTTTCTTCTTTAATGATGATTTTTATCAAACTTGCATATTTAAGTTCAGTGATTTCACTTAAATGGCAATGATAATTACCTATTAATTGTTATTTAAGTGAAATTACTGAACTTAAATATGCAAGTTTGATAAAAATCATCATTAAAGAAGAAAATTTCAAATGGCATTTAGAGGCTTTTGCATCTGAACTCTTCATATATACTTTATTCTTGTATTTCAGACAAACTAATACTTTAACACGTATATAATACGTATATATATATATATATATATATACTTTATTCTAGTATTTCAGACAAACTAATACTTTAACACGTAATACTTTGCCTTTCCCTGTCAGCTGCTTTGACAGATGTGTGCTTCTGTTAAATTTTTCATACATATTTCTTCAGCACATTACTTACATTTTAAGGTTATATCATCTGTAAATTTGAGAACGTCACTCGAGTATTTCTATTTCCAAAAAGTTTCAATGAACGAGCGGTTTGCATGCATGCACATCAAGAAGATGGAGCGCAGTAGTTCATTTTCTGAATTTGGATTGTACAGAATAGTATAATTTTTAAATACAGTAAATTTAGGCTATAATCAATTGATGTTATACAGTCACATTCAACTCTGTATGAGGATTTTTCTCTGTTTGTTCTCCAGGTGAGTCCGATCCCAAGACGGTGTCAGTGAAGGCGGGAGAATGTTTAGTTTTAATCACTGATTTTAATGTAGAAAGAGATGAGAAAGTGGAGTGGAGATTTGGAGATAAAATTCTCATAACTGGAATGACTGGAGGTGGTGATGAGAGATTCAGAGACAGACTGGAGCTTCACCATCAAACTGGGTCTCTCACCATCAAAGACACTAGAACCAGCGACACTGGAGTTTATCGTCTAAATCTCTGCAGCAGAGGTGGAAAGAGCTGGGAATTCAGTGTCACTTGTCAATGGTGAGTAACTCTTCCAGTATGACTTTTATTAGTTAAAGTGACTTAAGCGATTTCTTTATCATGGTTTACTTGCTCTCATGTTGTGCGAAACTTGACTTTATTTCTTCTGTGGAAGTATCTTCTTTCTGCTTTGAAGACTAAAATTTCATAATCTAATATTGTTTTTAGTTTAATTATTATTTTTTATTAATATTCATAATCAGTAGTATTATGTATCTGTATTATTACTTTTTATATAAATTCATAATCATCGTATGTTGTGAATCATAGTGTTCATGAATACATATGTGGGTAAGAGAGACTTTGGGTCACTTTTAGGGCTGTGAAACGATTAATCGCATCCAAAATAAAAGTTTGTGTTTACATAATATATGTGTGTGTAGTGTGTATTATTATTTTGTGCATATATATAAATACACACACAAGCATGTATATATTTAAGAAATATTTGCATGTATATACTTCATATATATTTATACAAAATTAATATTATACATAAATATTTGATATATTAAAAATAGAGCTGCCAAACGATTAGTCGCTTCCAAAATATAAGTTTGTGTTTACATAATAGATGTGGGAGCACTGTGTATAATTATTTTATTTATATATATATATATATATATATATATATATATATATATGAAATATTTTCATGTATATACTGTACATAGATTTAAATATCATTTATATTATATATAAATGTTTTATATATAATTTTTTTTTCTTAAATATACATGCATATATATATATATATATACAAAATAATTATACACAGTGCACCCACATATATTATGTAAACACATACTTTTATTTTGGATGCGATTAATCGCGATTAATCATTTGACAGCCCTAATTAAAAACACATTTTTCTTAAATATATAGATGTGTGAATTCAAATATACAAAATAATTATACACACTACACACACATATATTATGTAAACACAAACTTTTATTTTGGACGTTTCACAGCCCTAGTCACTTTGAGTGTGTGTGGGAAGAGCTTGACTGAAAGTGTATGAAGTTTCCACTGGGATTGGATATGCATTCCAATGTTAGGAACCATATGTTCCTCTGGTCATTTATGTGTTCCTATGGTAATGTAGTTTTGTTTTGGCCAGTGGTATAAAAACCGAGCCTTTGTCCAGAGGACATTTTTTTGGTCCATTGTCACTCCCTCCTATGTTTTACATAATTTGGTCAAATAAATAAGAGATCTACCATTTAGTGTCAGTCTCCAGAAAGGACCAAGAATTCCATATTCTATTAAATTCCAAATAAATTCCAAATTCCAATTCTATATTCCAATTCTATTATTAAATTCCAATTCTCTAAATTCCAATTCTATTAAAGTCATATGTTCCTTGGTGTGAGATGTAGATCATTATTCTCTCAAGTTCGTAAGACTGAGTTCACAAATCGTGTTAATTTGTTCGAAACGAACAAGTGCTCAAACAAGACTGAACTTGGTCCTTTGTAATTTTATGTTAATTCTTGTCATTAGTTTTGATGTCTGATTACAGAATGTCTTTGTTTTTCAGATTCTAGAGGAAAGCGATTGAATAATTCAGCAATTGTGCTGATGAATGGAGAGGTTCCTGATGGAGTAAATATGCAGCAGGCCACGAGTCCAGTTTGATAAGAAGACACTTTTGTGCTTGAGTGCACTAGCTCTTAACCCTTTGAAATAATTCTAGGATGGTAGTCTCAGCTTGAAGAATATGACAGAATTACCTCTAGGTCTCCTATTTTTCCCTATTATAACACAGTCTATGGTCCTCTTGGTTGCAGATGTACTAGTGGTGAGCTAGCCAGAAAATGACCATATTTGGACTTGTTATCCAATGTATCATATTCCTTCCTATATGATGGAAGGTATGTTCTCTTATAACACGTCATCAAGCCAAGAGTTACGTTTCTAAATGTGAATACTACTTATATAGTTTGTGAAAAAAATTTTTACACTTGTTTGTATTTTTGTCTGCTATAATGCTATAATTCTGACTGTTATAATGGGTTCGAAAAACAAAGAAAAGTACAGATAAGTCAGGTGCCCCAAAAATGTTCTAGGTCTTTAAGGGTTAAAGTGACAGCAGCATGTTATGTTGTAAATGATGACAGAAAGTAATTATTGTGTGAATTATACCTTTAACACCAGTTTTGGGTTAATGCTCATGTTCATATTTATGCTCATGTTTTTGTGATCAAATCTGAATGTCGATTTGTAAATGTGATCTGAAGTGCCTTTGTATTTATTCTTAAGTACTTGCCGGATAAATCCGCCTACTGCACTTATAGTAAAACTGCACTTATTCAAATTAAATAAATGAGTGTTGTGCCTTGGATTATTCACAATTAGCACATTTGTAAGTCATTTAAATAAACCTTCAATTAAAGATTTTAATCTATGTGTATTTGATCTTTCTATCTTATCATTGTTGTATTTTAGAGGACTAACACTGATTCCGTTGTTAACTATAGCTTTGGTTTATAATCTCGAATTAAGTATACTTGTGTGTGTTAATAGTTTTTTTTCCCTTGTAGTTTGAAATCAGTTGGTTCATACTGTATGCTCTGACAAAATCCAATTGTAATCATAATCATATATCATTCATTAATTTTAATGTACTTTGTAGACTACAGCAAACCACAGGACATTTCCACTGATCAATAAACAAGACGCTTGATTTCGGAGTGTTGTGTGTGTGTGTGTGTGTGTGTGTGTGTGTGTTCTTCAGGTGTGTATTGTGCTGATGAAGTGAAGTCGGTGTCAGCGACGGAGGGAGATTCAGTTCCTCTAAAGTCTGGTGTTACTGAAATAGATCCAACACTGTAAAAAAATATTGATGGTTTAACTTAAAAAAGTAAGTAACCTGGTTGCCTTAAAATTTTAAGTTGATTGAACTGGAAAAAGTGAGTTAATACAATGAAGGAGATTAATTTAACCATCAGAAACTCAAAATAATAAGTTATCTCAACTAAATAAATTATTATAAAGTTGATTTGACAAAAGAAAATATGTTGTGATAACAAATCTTGAAAATATTTTTTACAGTGAAGTGATGAGATATGGTGGAGGTAAAATGGAAATCTTATATTCCGAACACACAGACTGGAGATCTCAAGATCACAGACATCAAAACCACTGACTCTGGAGAATATAAACAACAGATCAGAAACACTAGAGGGTCCTCAGAGGACCTGGTTTGAGATGAGAGGGATGAATTTTCAGATCATCTTGAAGAGACATAAGAAGAATCTTAAAGAAGAATTGAAGAAGTGTTCAATCGCTCTCATAATACCTATGACTGTAATGAATTTGCAACCATTTTACCAATCGCACTGAGACATTTATAAGGATTCCTTCCAAAAATGAAAAGGAAATAGATATATGTGATCTATAGACATTATCAGTGAACTTTTAGTGACTTGAATCAGGGGGAAAGGAAGGTATAGGAGGGAGAGGGGGATGCAGAGATAAAGAAGGAGAAACGTTTAGACAGGACAATGTCCTGTGCTCTTTCTTTGAGATCTTCTGTCCAGTGTGTGTTTCATTGCTTTATTGCAGGATGAGTTTTATCTCAGTTTTGTCTGAATTCTTAAGAACAGAGTCTTCAAGAGAACAGAAGTCATAAACCCATTTCTCTCATCCACCACCTGAATAAACAGTTTACACTGGGCAAACCCAAAGTCGGAGCCAGGGTCATTTGAACTTTCATGTTTGCAAATGGCTCCTCGGCTTCACTTGTCCAAACAAGTCTGTCGCACGACCTCAACCCTTTCCCCATTGTCAGGGCTCGTAAGGGCTGTTCAAGAATTGCATAGTTAGGAATAAATGTACGACAGTAAGCACAACATTCCCAAAAATATCACTGCTGGACATGGAAAAAAATGCTTACAGGCAAATTTCCCTTCCAGCACTTCTTGCTTCTAAATTACAGTTAACGTCTTATATTCCGGCCGATTACCCAGTGGTGAAACTCTCGTTAAGGATTTGGATCCAATTCAGAAAGTCATTTGGTTTTAGGGACGCTTTTTTTTTTTCGCCTTCAATGTAGGGTGGTTCATTCAAGAGCTGGTCTCACAAGGGGATAAAATGTTTTAAAGACTTATTTTGGGATAATTTATTTGCTTCTTTTGAGCAATTGGTTGTACGTTTTGGTCTTACCAAGTCAGATTTATTTAGAATCTTGCCAATAAGGCTTGTACCAGTGTTGTAGTACTCGAGACTCGGACTCGTCTCGGACTCGGTCTCGAGACCATATTTTAATGGTCTTGGTCTTGTCATGGACTCGTGTGCATTTGGACTCGGAATTGACACGTACTCGAACATTTTTTTTTTTAGGACTCGGAATTATTCCCGAGTCCACTCGAGTTCAATTCAAAATATTTTTCATGATTATTAATGCATGTTAATAAAATATTTCTTTAAATTGATTGACACGCCCAGTGATTAGTGATTTTCTAGTGCGCAACTGCGCATGACAAATTGTAATAAAATTACTTTTAACACCACCTACTATGTGGCCTTTTTACCCTAAACTGATCATATTTTTTAAACTCTAAGTAAATTCAGTAAATAAAAAAAAAAAAGGATTTCTCTAAGTAAATAAAAGTAAATTAGGTAATCAACCCTCACTGGTCTCGGTCTCGACTCGGACTCGACTCGGACTCGACTCTCTATGGACTCGGTCTCGACTCGGACTCGAGTGAGGTGGTCTCGACTACAACACTGGCTTGTACCAGATTTCCCGGTGATGCCCTCCGAAAATCCTTTGGATAGGTTCCTTTCATGTAACATATTGGCCAAGGGCTCAATTACTGTTATTTATAATTTAATGATCAATCTGGTATCTTCATCCCTGGATAACATTAAGAGAGCTTGGGAGGAAGGCATTGACAGACCACTCTCCGAAATGAGTAAGTAGAATTTACTCCACAAACTATAATTGGCCAAGTTAAATTCTTTGTTAATTTGACCTAACTTAGTTAATTCCATACATGTAACAGTGCAAAAATTCAATATTATGAAGCTGCAGACTCGGAGCCTGCATCTATACAGTCCCCCACCGAGAGTCCCGCATTCTTAGACCCCTCGTTTTTCGAACACAGCGCCTCCTGCTGTTCAAACGGTCGAATAACACCCACACACAGAGTACAGCGTACGATTATCCAAATGCAATTAAAAACAATAGGATGCAATATTACGGTCTCCAAATAAATTATCCAATAAATATTTGCGTTCCCTGCTTAATGTATGTGCAGAAAAAAACTAATTGTTACTGATGGAAGGGATACAATTACAGATTGAACTATCTTCAGAAAAATAGTATGTGATATTATATTGCTACAATGTTTTTTATATATATATATATATATATTTTTTTATTCAAATTCCAATTTTTCTTTCAGTTCAACCTATAATGGTCTAATTAACATTACGATGCTAAGATTACAAAATCTGTTTTTTGATATTTTGAATGCGAAGCAAAACAAATCAGAATAGACAAAACACCAATAAAATAAACAATTCCTACTTTATTTAGGCTAATGATCACCTAAACATCATCTTGCTGTAAAGAAAAAAGGAAGGAAAAAATGTGTTCGTGACTTTACTTTTCGTCTTCAATTGCATTAAAAAAACTCATTTATAAGTCGCTTTGCATAATCCTAAAATGATGTTGCTGGGTTCGGCAGGGGCAACTCCATCGATGTATGGTGTACCCTGGAATAGCCTTCAACATAGGACGATAGCACATGTCTTATGATGTTTCAAAGCTAAATTATAAACGTTAGCTATCTAAATATTTTCGGGGGGGGGGGGGGGGGGGCGAAAAAACATATATTAACGGCTCAAATCTTGTTACAAACTAACTTTACAAATATTCAATGGACTATTCATATGTTGTATCGATGAGCTAAATTAGTTTTATTAAAAAAAAATGAATCAAACGAGTAGGCTACTACGATTCGCTAAATAAAAGATAGCCTACTCACATTTATGTTTATCCGATACAATTTGATAGGAGGCGCTGTCTCGAAAAACGAGGGGTCTGAGAATGCGGGACTCTGGGTGCAGGGGGACTGTAGATGCAGGTCTCCGAGTCTGCAGCTTCATACTACTCCAAAAATTTGCAGAAGAAAAATTAAGTCGATTTTTTTTTCAGTGAATAATAGGCCTTGAACACTAGTCCATTCGCACGTAAACTGGAACTCAAGACACACACATACATTTGAACATTTGACCTCTCTTAATTGTTGCTATAAATCTACAGCTAATATGCCAGAAATGGTAAAGTTTGATCTTTGCCCAGGACACCCGGATGTTATTGCCGGATATTATGTGTATAAATATGACCCTTCTTCATTCAACAGATATGAGAATCTTATGGTGTTACACCGGCTCTGGCTCTTCACCAAATCTTCCTCTGATATTCTGAAGGTAACGATTTAAAAACCAATGTGAGTTCTGCATGTTCTACCTGAACTATCTTTGTGTTTAAATGCATTGAGGATTTCAGTGTGCATATATGAGTGCATGCAGATATTTAACTTTTCCTGCTTATTAATTTCAGGTTCATCATGGCAATGCTGAAAAGTTGTCTGCTTCTTTTCATTATCTTCTCCATGGGGAATGCAGAAGGTAACCAATACATCTATTTTGTAAAAACCCTTGCTATTTATATTCCATTGACTAGTATTTGCATGATTAATAAGGGGTTTACCATGTATGAGTACAGTAAGTACATATATTTTCAGCACATAATCACAAAAACATAAATTAAGCTACATAAATAAAAATTAAAACATTATTTCCAGTGAATGTTAATGGACAGGATGCAGTTGGTTTATCCAGAAGATGCCCCGCTACATGGACAAAATATGGACTCCGATGCTTCAAGTTCTTTTCTCATCCGACTAACTGGATCACAGCAGAGGTACGGCAAGATGATTTGGTCACACTTTATATTAGGTGGCTTTAATTACATCTAAAAGACATGATGTAAAGACATGTATGTACACAGTAAATGCATTATCAAATGATTCATTTAAAAATGATTCTCTGGTGGAGTAAATAGAATAAAACTCATGTAATTTCTACAAGGAAAAGTTAGTTCAGCCAAGAATTAAAAAAAAAAAAAAATTATATATTAGTACTCAATTGAAGCATGTAACACCAGTGCAACTACAAAATGTTGCAGAATAATGTAATATATGAGTGAATAATAACCTATAAAGAACATTTGTGCCAAAAGGGTTCTTTCTTGTAATTATGGAAACTTTTTTAGCATTAAAGGTTATTTGGAGTCGAGTAAAGAACCCTGAACGCTTTTTTTCTAAGAGCGTAATCTATTCAATATCTATTGTATTATGTATTTAGATGTTTCTAAGCATACACTTTAAACACGTGTTTTAATTCAGTGTTATATTGTCTTAAAAAATTCATTTTGTTAGTCATTAAAGTTAAGTTAGTCAAGTGAAGGTTAATCAATGTCAATTAAATGTCAAACAAATTTTAAGTGCAATAGTAAGTAGATTTTACTTGATAGTAACAGGTTAGTTGTACGTAAAAGTTACTTAAAATGTGTCAATGCAAATTGTTACGAGGATTTTATCAAGTCATTGTTTTCAGTGATATTATTTAAAGACACTTACTATAAAGTGGGAATGTTTTTTTATAGTAAACTTTCTTTTCTGCAATTAAATAGTACAGAAAACTGGTACTGAGCAAATAATCAGCAGACTATGTTGTCACTTTTGCTATAAAAAAAAACAATTCTTCTTTGCTATTTCTTTAGAGAAACTGTCAAAGTATTGGTGCGAATCTCGCATCTGTGAGTAATAAACTGGAAAATGGTTTCCTGCTGAGTCTGTTGCCTTCTCCTTCCACACGTACTTGGGTTGGTGCTCATGACGCTGTACAAGTAAGTTCAATTGTGTGTCCTAAAGAGACCTATTCGTTTATCTAAACTACAATTTCTGCTTTAAACAGGAAAAGGTGAAGTTTCTAATGAAGAAGCTTTGACTTCAAATCTGAACTAAAGCTTCTTCCTGAAGTCTGACAATAGTAGTGCACTCTTTCTATTCACTCTTTAGGAAGGACGCTGGTTGTGGAGTGATGGATCTGTGTTTTTGTTCACCCACTGGTGCTCTAATGAACCTAACAGTAGTGGTGTCGAGAACTGTTTGGAGATCAACTTTACCTGTAAGACTGCAGTCAGATTTTTTAATATCTTTCAGTTGTAATTTACAATCCTACAATTTTACATCATACTGTAACATGAAATGACTCATTTTAGATTTCACAAAGTGCTTAAAGTTAAATATTACATTTTATTTTGATTCTAACAACACTATAATGATCAGATTAACTTATTTCATTGTTCCACCTTACAGCTAACCGTTGCTGGAACGATCTGTCCTGTTCAAACAAATTGTCCTATATTTGTGTTAAGGACCTGTGAGACCGTCATCCTGTTCCACGGTTACTTTGACTTTGAACTACATCTCTCCGATATTATCTTTTAAAAATGAAATCAAATCTCTTCTAAACTTTAATCTTTTTTCAATATCTTCTCTGAAAACACTCCTCACATTAATAAAAGCATTGAAAAAGCAAATTGTGCATTCTCAATCAAATTCATGTATGTAAAAATGTAAGTATATGATGATTTTGGTATTAGAATGGCATTAAATGACATCATCGGGGGTGGGGTTTAAGCTGCACTCATGCTTCATCATTGGCAAAGAAAACATTTGCATGTTTGTTTCCTGGATTATAAGGAAATTTCCATATAAATTAAATATTAAATTAAATTAATAAATTAAATTAAAATAAATTCCTTATAAATTAAATATTAAATTTTCCATATAAATTAAATATTTATATGGAACTCATCCAGGGCCCTTTTTTTGTTTTCTGTCTTTTATAATATCCCAATATTTCGGTGTGAGAAACCTCTGCTCTGAACAAATCTAACTAAATCATGAACAATATCAGACCACTTTTTAAATCTGTCTTAATAGATCAATAGTGATTCATTCACTATTCTGGCATTGCTAGTTCTGATTCTAAACCGCAGACAGAAACACAAAGGACCTGAGCAGAACAAACATCCTAGGGTTGAAAGTCTCCAATATCTCCAATATCATAGAAGGATTAATCATCAATAATTTACCGGGGCACAGTGTGAATTTCAAAAAGGGTCCAGTGACTCCCCTAGATATATATGGCATAACAGGATTTTAAAACGATGAAAATCATCGTAATTCTGCATCAAAATAGTATTTTCAAGGCAGCAAAATTTGATTCAATTAGTTTTAACAACATACTTCATTTTATTTTTACATGGTCATCGGATAATTATACACTTGCACAATAATTTCGCAAATGTATTATCTTCGAAATGTGATTTCAGTGAGCAAATATTTCAGTGAGTCAGTAGGCCTACATTCAAGTGAATCAGTGAATCGATTCTCAGATCCAAAAACATGTTCGTTCACGAACCAAATAATTGGCGTCGGCATGCCAAATTTGAGCAAAATCTGCACAGAACCGATCACCGGTGATCACTGCAAGATGCATGCCGCTTAGTCTCACCCCGTCCCCAGATTGGTTTCAATTATCACCTACATTTTTTTACATCTTCATGGATGTCTTACACTTGATAATCTTGTTAGATGATTAGATAATTACATTTGAAAGATTTGTAAAAGGTGTTTTTATGAATGTTTGGCCCGGGTTTTTGCATTTACACTGTTCTGACCACTAGGGGTCACCATGGAGATGGGTGTCGGATTGTTTTGATTGCTTCAACTGATTCAGTGTTTCATGAAGCCTCGATCTGCCCACCACTACTGGTTTGTGTTAATATGCCTCAGCCACAATTACTCCTGGGCACTGGGATGTGTTGGGTAATGTTCACACTGCGATTTTCAAAGTAGAAAACTGCACGGTTTTCCAGTCGATGAGTTAAAATTGGGGCAAAATTGGGCAGTGTGAACTCAGCATTAGTTACTCTAAAAAAGTAATTAATAATTAGTTAATTACCTCTTCAACAATGCAATTGTCACAGTTGTGTTTGAGATCTAGATTTTGATATAATAGTGTGACATGGCTTACAGCAATGATCATGTCCATACAGTCTGACAAGCAACAATCGTAAAGGACTATTATAAATCGCACAGTGTGGCCCGACTTTACGCAGCACTGAGCATCAGTTGAGATTATGGCCTCATAGGGTTAGGGGTGGAGTAGGGTTAACCATTTGTTAGGGTTGAGTTTTAATTGTAGTAAATTTAGGGTTAAGGATTCTTTCCATCAGTTTTAAGGCCTTTGACAGTGTTGTTTTTCCATGTTTCGTCACTAGTTGGCGCTCCAGCAGGGTCTTAAGGAGAGACGTACTGACTGTACAGTACACCATTAAACTTGTTCAATTGACTGAATCTGAAGTTTAACTAAGATTCATTGTTTGTTGACTGATGCTGTCGATGTTGTAGTTTAGTTGGACATTATGGTTTGTGGGAAACAGAGAAATATTGACTCAACAAAACAACGAAAGACAATGAGAGACTTGATCAGGCCAAACATCGTAAGATCAGTAGGCCTATATGTCAGCAAACTTGTGCTTTTAACAGCCCTGAATACAAATATGCACTAAAATAGTCATGATTAGAGATAAAGATACACCTATAAGCAGGTTAGAATATAAACTGAAGGCCTGAATAACTTTTTATATAACGTTTTGAATAACACATTTATTTTTGTAACTGCTGCTCAGGTCTTTTTCTTACCTTCTCGTTTTGTTTTATTTTCATTTATATTTCAATTTTCTCAGAACGCTGTGTTTTTAATGGAAACACAAACATGCATGATGTATTTTTTTAGGTAGCCACCTCTTAAAATACATTAATTTTCATCTGTGGTTTTCTTTTCGATGGTCTGGTAGTGTCTCTTGAATTTTCTGTGTAGTCTGCTAAATTAATAAATGTACTGTAAAACAGAAGCATAAAGTAATTAAATATCATGTAGATTTTTGCATATCAACTTTTAAAAATGTTATACTATAACATCACAGCAAGTGAGAGATTAGAAATGTCAGTGAAAACCCACTAGGTGGAGCTGTTGTAATGATTTTCAACCTTCAATGTCAATCTTATAATAAATGAAAAATTAAATAATCTTTGATATTTCAAAATATTTTTTTTGCGATGTGGCTCTAATAATCATTCAGTGTTTGCTGTGTTCTGCACACTCCTTCTATCAAAGACTTTTTGTTCTGAATTCATAAACTAGAATGACCCCCGTGAGCACAATGGACCAATGAGATCACAACTTCAGTGAAACCACAACAGCGAAACTTAGTCTTATGAGAAAAGAAATGTTATTTTAATGTTTGTCAGTCCTGTTATATTGTCCTGTTTGTCAGTTCTGTTATAGTCTATATCAGTCGGTTAAACTGAGGCCCTGACTCTCTGTGGTCACAAAAAATCCCAGGATGTCTTCGGAAAGAGTAGGGGTGTAACCCCGGCATCCTGACCAAATTTCCCAGTGGCATCTGTCCATCATGACCTCCTAATCATCCAGATATACCAAAATATGGCTGAGGAGCACTCATCCTGCCATTCTGCAGGGTGCAGACAGAGGGTGGTACTCCCCCTGTAGGCCTGCTACTGACACTGCTAGGCCATCTAAGCAAGGTATGCATTGTTTGAAATATAATTATAATTGAAATATAATAATAAACTGTCCGGACACTGTTTAGAAAGTCTATAGGCCTCTGTCATGTCTCAATCATAACTGCCAATCATGTTAAAAACAGCTTCACTGTGAATATGATACAATATGTTGTCAATATGATATAATATTTTGTGAATATACATTTTATAGGTCTACATAAAGGCTATACCCAATCTAAAGCCAAGACATCAGTTTGGTTTTCCTAATAGATTTATGGATCAAACATATCTTTACTTGCCAGCAACAAGTGTCCCTTGTGAGAGGATTTTTTCAAAGGCTAGAGAAATAATTTGTAAAACAGGAAGTCCTTCGAACAGCAGAGAAATGAATATTTTTGAACTTAAAAAATGAGACATTGTGACTTGATTTCTTTTATTAATATTAATTTTTCATGACCAAAATAACATTATGCACAGCGAGGAGCCTACAGGTTACAAGATTCACATATTAGAAAAATACAATATATATATATATAGTAAGGGCAAGTGGTGTCACCATGGAGACGGGTGTTGGGTTGTTTCGGAGCCTCGACACATTATGGTACATTTTCATTGTTTTAGGAAGCCTAGATCTGCCCACCACTAGGAAGTGGTAAAGATAAACAGTCCAGATTTGTGGCGCCATCTTGTGGCTGTCAGAATGTGATTTATTAACAACTCACTGACCCTGACAGAGCTGAACACGATTGCTGGAGTGTGGAGGATCAGTTGAGGTCGGATACTCTCCCATCCTGATCAAAGCTGGGTGAGCAAACTGGTTTTAGAGAGGTTTTGCTACCAGCTGAACCAGCTTAGCCAGAAACAAACAAGACCTGTCAACCATTTTAGACTGGTATTAGTGTTTTGTTTTGTGTGTTTTTGTCCACAGAAAGTTGTCACCTTATCCCTTGAAGAAATTCCTCATGTCTTTTGAAATATCTGTGTTAAAAGGTTGCATTAAAATGATTGCTGTATAGGCTATGCAACTTATCAATCTTAAAACATTTTTAATTTTGTAGCTGCTGTTGTAGTTGCTTGAAATATAATACAGGCCTTTTTAAATATTAACAGTTTTATATGTTGCTATAAAATACTTTTATTTCATCAGACTACACATAGGCCTATGTGTGAAAGGCCTTCAAAGAAGGAAGATGCTTTGTGTTCCTATAAGTGTAGTTACAATATCTACCAGCAGGGGCGAACAGGCCGTTCAGTAACTTACTAACCAGAAGAGAAAACAGTACACACCATGAGACACTTGTTTTGTGTGTTTCACATACTAAGGAAATTATCAAAAATGTTAAAAGTGTTATGCAAAATAATTTGCAAAATTTGTTACATCTAAATGATCTAGTTCCGTTAAATTAATTTAAGGCCATGTTAAAATGCAATATAACTAAAAATGTAACTGCCATATGTGACCTGTTCTTTTCTTTTATGTGTGATGCTTGTTTGTTTGTTTGTTTTTGACTATGTTGTATTTGTATTTAAATTGAATCTGGTGTGCCGTCTTGGCCAGGTCTCCCTTGGAAAAGAGACTCAGTCTCAAGGGACATGGTTAAATAAAAAAAAAAAAAATGAATATACTTTTAATTTAAAAGCAAATTTTCACTATGAGGAGACTATTTCATGTATCTCTGGAAACAAAAGGATTGCAATGAATCACCTTTTATAAACATTAAAAACATGTAATCATGAGTTCAGGGAGGATATTGAGCTGCTGTATAATAGATCGGTTGATATCTCCTGATCAAACACACTGAAGATCACTGAATAATATACATTTTACAGCAGCTTATAGGCCCTAATGATGATTAGATTGAATCTGAGCCAATATCAGAACCCGGATTAGGCAATGATCACATACTGTAATATAGGAACATGTTGAATAG